GTCAGTCGGCGATTTAGTGATTGGTATAATCTATAATTATACTTAACATACTTGTACTACCATTAATCTCACCTATTCTACTAATTAATGAACAACATTTAAATACAGCACAGTACCGCTCTACTCTAGTCGAACTGCGCACGTAGAAGCAGCAGCAGCAGCACAGACAGTTAGTCATTCAAGTCGAAAATGATATGTACACTCATTATACTTTTAACGGCTACGTTAGCGTTATACTTGTACTTGACGTTCACGTATTGGAAAAGAAATAATATTCCAACGGCCAAAGGATGGTACCCGATCGTTGGTCACGTCCTACCCGTGTTAACCATGCAAAAAGCTCCGGGCGTACTGGTTCAAGAATTATACCAGCAGTACAAGGATAGCAGCATGGTTGGATTTTACAAAGGATTAGTGCCGGCATTAATTATCCGCGAACCGAACTTGGTGAAAACCGTGGTACAAACTAATTTCCCGAGTTTTGATCTGAACGGTTTCCAGATTGAAAAAAAAGCGGATCGCCTGTTAGCTCATCATCCACTTTTCACCATTGGGGAAAAATGGTCCATTGCAAGAAAGCGAATAAGCTATGGGGTTACCAGTGGCAAGTTGAAAATTCTTGTAGTAACAATTGCCGAGGTGTGCAAGAAATTCCAAGATTACTTGGACAGGCGGCTTAGCTCCAACGACAAGTACGAAGTTGAACTGAAGTATCTGTTCTCAAAATTTACTGGCGAAGTTGCGGCCAACGCTAGTGTAGGCGTCGAAGGGCGCTGTTTCGAGGACGTAGATGATCCTTGGGCGTTTGATCAGATGGGCCAGACTATCTTTCAACCGAATTTATTCGGTAGATTTCTATTTAACTTTGTAACCCTATTTCCCACTCTGAATCATTTCACAATGCTCAAGTACGTGAATAAAGAATTGCAACAAATGTTCAGAAGGCTGGTTAAGGAAAATTTGGAGCACAGACGAAAGGAATCAACGCCCAGGCACGACTTTCTTGATTTAATGTTGAGACTCGAGAAAGAGGAAGGAGTACAGCTGCCTTTGGACGCTCTCACTGCTTATGCATTCACGTTTTATCTCGACGGATTCCAAACATCAAGCGTTACTCTCAGTTTCGTTGGATTTCAACTGGCTCTGCATCAGGATGTTCAAGAGAGACTACGTGAAGAAGTGAAGTCTGTGATGGAAAAACACGGAGATGAGTTAACGTACGAATCGCTGAAAGAGATGACTTATTTGGACCAAGTAATTAGTGAATCGCAAAGATGTTACTCGACAGTGAGTATCCTGAACAAAGTATGTACAGAAGATTGCACGTTGGAAGGATCGGACGGGCTTAAATGTCGTGTGAAAGCTGGCACCGAAATTGTCATACCCGTTTATGGAATGCATAAGGACCCCAGGTATTGGTCCGATCCAGAGACCTTTGATCCAGATCGATTCAGCGAGGAGAGAAAGCACGAGATTCAAAAAATGGCGTTCCTCCCATTCGGCGAGGGAATGAGGAAGTGTGTCGGAACAAGAATGGCACTGCTACAAGTAAAGGCTTGTTTGGCTACCTTGGTCAAAAGCTATAAATTGGAATTGTCGCCTAAAACGAAACTGCCTTTGAAACTGGTGCACTTCATTTTTCTTTCAGAAGCAGAAAGCGGACTTTGGGTGTATATATCAAAACTTTGAAAACAGTCAAATATATTAATATTGTAGGAATATTATGATTGTTAATCATTTACTTATTTTATAACGAATTGTAAACATAGAAAACATTGCTATCTCACTAGCAAATACTAATTACGATAGAACATCAACGAAATTAGTGATAACTTACGTAACAACTGAAGCTTAATGTTAGCAAGTACAAACATCAATTTTGTATAATGCATTGTATAATAAATTCGTTTAATAACATTGCTATCAAAGAAGAGTGAACTTTACTACCTGCACATAGAAATTTAAACGACATTACAATTTCGCAATGTATTACGCAATTACCAGTACAAATGAATCATGTTTAGTTGGGAATACTGCGATACCAGTACTGAGAAGTTTGCTGATAATGGAGAACCAGGAGGGGTTGAAGAAAGCCATCAACCAGGAGGCAGACGAACAGTTGCCGCGACCACCCTCTCTCTCTCTTTCCTGCCCACCCATTTCTCACTGGCTTGTCCAAAACAGGAATAACCCCTTACTCAGTTTCGGAGCACAAGCACGAGATATTCGTTCTACCTTCGTGCCCATTCATAAAGCAATCTTAAACGCCGCTCTTAACCTCTAAATATGCGTATACGTATTTTGATAAACTCCAGCCACAGTCGGCTGAGGTTATTTTTGTAGCGCAATTATTGTTCGTTTTCGGGTCATCGAATTTTCCAAGCAACTATCCAAGCAAGCATAATTAACAAATTTCACTTTGCCAGCTACCCATTTTGTACTGTTCGCGAGATGAAGAGACAAACCGCTGATGCAATAAAAGATCTGTGTTGTAGGCGCATCTCTTCGCTTAGGAGAGTGTAGAACAGTGTTTGTTAGCGTCTCCATTTATGGGAATTTTATAGTTTTAGAGCGTGAGGTCGAATCTTTGCTAAAAACTATACTCCATGTTCGACCATCCTAAAAGGTAGTTCTCACTCCGCGTGTAATTTTGTTATATACTACTAATAATTGTTATCACGAAAATCGAACTCACTTTAATATCATACCGCATGAACATTGCAAAATAATAACTGTTTACACGATTTCACTATTAGTGTTCATATTAAAATAAGACTAATTATGAAATAATTGCAAAAATGAATGTTGTAATGCATCTGAAACTAGATAAGAAATTCTTGGACAAAATTATTTAAATTTCTCCCTCTATAAGATTCGTCGTATCGCACAATCGTATCACATCACATCAATAATTAATTGAAAAACAATGTTACAATTAATACAAAGGTATATGAAATCTAAGAACATACATTGTGATATACAAATTGCCCTAGAATGCACGATTTTCCTCTGGAGGTGTAAAAGAGGATGATTTTCTGAATCAGAAGTTCCTCTTTCACTTTTTCCTCCAACCACCATTGATAAAGTTATTAAACACAAAAATGCAGCTTTACTTACGCGAACTTTCTCTCCAATTTCCAAACCGTTTTGCAAATGTTTGTCGTTTGATGCTGGATGGACCATTCCAGCTTTTATATAAGAATTTTCACGACTACATACGCACTTCCCTTTTCCTATTAGAAGCAATTCTACACTGGTATTTAGCGAGGGAACACCGACTCTCTTTACGTGGAAGGTCAGTGACACACATCAACTTTCTTATCTCATTACACTCGCAAATCGCACTGTTTATTTTTAACGCAGGTCAGGTGCGGCAGTTCCCTCATTCGAATTTTCCTCAACTCGTTCTTTTGTTCATATTATTTTCTATGCATTGGATAACTTAACACATCTGTAAATGTGTTCATAGTTATACAGGGTAGGACATTTAAAACGGGCCACTAAAAAACGCATGGCTGTCAGTGACCTGCTCTAAACATCACTGCTGCACATGTGGTTTATCTTCACAATTTACAGGTTCGGCACAATGACCCAGCGACGTTCTTCTAGGAGCAGGTGAACTTAAAAACGAATGATTAAGTTCGACTCTAATTCTTCGTAATTTTTGTTTTAATCCTACGTTTCGTTCTATCTGATCCTATACTATAATCCTATTATAGCATAAATTATTCCTAGAATTTCAAAAGTTTCTTTTTTATCTCTTTCATTTATAATA